CTCTGACCCTTCTCCCTCCTCTGCCATTTCTCTGTCTCTGCCTGTTGTTCAGGGACTTTGAAAGCCAGGACATTGGCTCTCACTTTGGAGTCACCTGTACGCACGAAGGCTTGAGAGCTATCCCATTAGGCATCAGTTTATCCACGGCTGAGGTTTTGTAGAAGGTTATTAAAGCGAGTTTTGGTACGCAGTGCTCATAAGGTGTGATTTTTTAAAGTGAGGGCTAGGTTAGGGTCAGTACAAACACTGCTGTGAAAAAAAAGTCAGATCTCAAATTTCCTTGAACCGTGCTGTGCCAAAACAGCACTGTGATGGGGTAAAAACAGAACGAGGGGAAAGTAAGAGCATAAGAAAGATTACAAACAAGAAGAGGACACGTGGCCCACTTCGCTCATGCCGTTAGGAGTCACTGCTTCAACATCAGGTGTGGGCGGTTTGTGACAGACCCCTACAACCCTTTGTGTAAAGACGTGCCTCCTGATTTCAGTCCCGGATGCCATCTCTCCCAGTCTGTACATGTGCCCCAATGATAGCATATCGATATGCTTGGCCTTCCTTTGGGGGGGCAGCACTGGTCTTTCAAAGATGGAGGTCAAAGCACAGCCAGTGAGGATTTCCGACAGCCACGTGCGCTGCTGTTAATCTACTGACACTTCCACAGAGATTTGCATTGTGCCTCAGTGACCGTTTCAAAACCTGTTTATCTGATGAGAAATTAGAGTGTCAGTGTTGCAGCAGGGCCACTAGAGGGCGGTCCTAATTCTACCCCCCACCCCCCCCCACCCAGCCGTCTTGGGGTTCTCCTTTACACTCTGGGTGACCCTGGATTTTCATGCATCGCACTTTTAGTAAAAGCTCCTTAATTTCGATTGTTACATTATTGAGTCGCTCTCTGTTCGGTTGTTGAATACCATTAAAGGGGATTGCATTCAGACGTAGGTTAATTATATTATTCTTCTGCTTTTCCTTCGGTTTCAGAAGATCATTAATCCCATTGATTTAGTATTTGTTGTTGTTGTTGTTGTTGTTGCTTATTTTTCTTTGCTTATTTTTATTTACAAAGGGTTATTACCAAAACGGTGAGTGACGTGTGTGTGTGTGAGCCACGTGAAGGGACGGGCCGCTTTTAGTTCTCTCTTCGTGTGCTCCAGGGGGAGGGCGGTAGGCTACCTGTTAATGGCCAGTGGTAGCGTCACCTGCTGGGTAGCTGGAGGAAGTCACGATGGTGCTTTGCCCTGTCCGAGTGCCCTGCCGCATTGCTCCGGATCTTCAGAAGCGCAGGGGATCCCCACACGGAGCAGTCGCCAGTTTCATCTGCAAGATAACCTGAAGCTGCGTCGTGCTTAGGCGGCCTTTGCCCGTCCTGCAGTTTTTTTTCCCCCGCAAATCTGACGAAAACTCATTTTTAATAAGCGCCCCTCATTAGTTTTCTGCAGTAAGAGAGGTACGCACATTCTGCACGCAGGGGCGCTTTTTTAAAAAAAAAATCATTTCCCCCCTCTTCTTCACCAAGTCTAATCGTCTTCTGTAAATATTCAAGCGTTGTGATAGGAGCTAAACTTTCTTTTCTGGAATCCTGCGCTTGACATTTAGAGATATTAAAATTTTTAGCCTCCTAATCCGAGCTAAGTTAACTTTTTCATTTAAACAAATACCATCTTAAATCCGACAGCAAACTGGAATTGAACTCGTCTCTTCCTGGCAGCTGTGGTGTCTCACCCTCGCTGTCTGTGCGCTGGCGATGCTGCAGCGAGCTCCGTCTCTCCTGGTGTAGGATTATGAGTCTCTCCTTTTTTTGTCACCTTATACTATAACATCTAAATTGTTCTCTTTCAATTCTGAAAACACCTACACTGTTTGATCTAATAAAGGCATTTCCATAGCCGCGCGCTCCCCCCAATTAGAGAGTAAACGTGTTAGCTAGCTTGACTTTAGCTTACCCACACCAGCAGTCAGTATGTTCTGCTGGCAAAAAAAAAAAAGTAAAATTTCCATCAGCCAACACGAATTAAAATGAAATGCAGGAAGCCATCTTTGCAGAAGATATTCCAGCCATCAGATCCTCTTGTAAACAGGCTTCACAACAAATGATAAAATAGTGAGAAAAATGAAAAGTACCCTAAATGGATGGGTTTGGATTACTAGAAGAGTCTAGAAGATACTGTAAATTTCCTTTAGAAATACAATAGAAGACACCTGTACAGTACGTGTGGCGCTGATTATTTATTATTGATTTTCTTGCACTGACTACTTTTATTCCATGATCAGTAATAAACAATACATACCTTTCCTCTTTCCCCAACAAGACGTTTATTAGCACCCAGATAGCCTCTGTAATGAAGTAAAAGCAACTACTTTACAGGTGTCTCCTTTCCAGAAGTGTACATACAGTATAACACAGCTCAAGACCGACTGTGGCACAATTTCGCTCTTTCTGCGCCCCGTTCCTGTTGAAGAAACATGACTAAATGTCTGCTCTGGGAAATATAATTTATGCTTAGAATCCTTTTCAAATTCAGATTCAAACTCAAAATTCAAGGGCGCCTTGTTGGCATGACTAAAATTAGTAACGTTGCCAGAGCAATTACATAATGCAAGCAAACAGTATGAACTGCACAGATTTTGATTTTCAGACCTAGAAATTCACATTTTTTAATGTATGCATATGCACACACACCCACTGGCTTCAGCAGTAGCTTGTAGGGTTTTCTGTAGCAGGCTGTCAAATCTGTATGTATATTTTTGACCTACACGTATTCTGATATAATAAAAATTAAATTGCTATTAAATTAAATACTGAGCTTACAAAGAGAGTGCACACGTGCTCTAAATGCTTCTTCTCATTTTTCTCTCTACACAGCTCCTGGAAATACCTTGGATCAAGAAACCCTCAGCAAAGCCCAGCATCACAAATCACAAATCAGAACTCTAGCAGCAGGCTAATTCCCTGTCTTTAACAGAGGAATGGGCACAGTGCTTGGCTGTCCGGCAGGAAATAATGAGAAAATCTGAAGAAAACAGAAAATGTAAAAATAGATAAATAGAAAATGAAAAGAACAAATTCTATTTTTTACCCCGAGTTTTTTTTTTAAATGCCCAAACTATTCAGATTGTCAGAATATTCTTCAATCTCAATGGCATTGGAATCTATGCGAAAAGTAATTACTGAAACTCTATTCAGCTGTAATAATAACCTGCCAGTGATGACAGCAATTACTGGAAAGGCGTAATAGAAATCAAAGACACATTCCTCTATGACAAGTACTCCTCTAACTCAGGTTTGTGTTGGCTGAATAGTGTTTGACAATGAGGATGCGCTGTATCATTCTTAATCAGTGTTGGCACGATATTAGGGCTCGGGCTGTGAGCTACAGTGTGTGTGTAGGGAGAGCTAATCACATGTATCCTTTGCCCTGCTCTCTGCCACACACCCCCTGCCTCCCCCAGGGCCCGAGTCAGGGGTGTAGCGTGGCACGGCACTGTGGAGTGTCTGGCACATTGGCACTGAGAGAGAGAGAGAGTTAGGGCGGTCTGTCTTCTTGTCTTCCACCACCCACATCATCCCATTTGTCTTTGGTACTGTATTCATTACATAACTCAGGGGCAGAATGACGGTGTGGCTTCACGCCTCTACAGTCCTGGGGACTTTCTGTGTGGAGTCTGCATGATGCCCCACCATGCTAGCATGGGTTTTCTCTAGGTGGTCCAATTCCCCGCCACGCAGAACGTTTCTTTCTTTGGAACCTCCATTAAAGACTAATACGTCTTACTTCTGGTAAGTAGACATAACAATAGTTGAAACAGGAATTAGATCTAATCTAGAGTGGATCATCTGTAGGGCAGTACGGGATACCTAGGGGATAGTCAACATGGATCTAGAAAATGTAGTTTTTGTTTATGCCTTTGAACAAATAAAAGCCGCACTGAATAAAGAGCATATGATAATGGTAATTTTTCAGAAGGCTTTGGATAAATTTCCTCATAAAAGATTAGTTTTCAAAATGCAGGTTATAGGCATGCACGGTAGTGCCACATGCTTGGATTGAGAACTGGTTAATGGATAGAAACAGAGAGCACAGATACGGGGTGAATAAATGGAATTAAATAATTGGAGGGATGCGATTACTGGAGTACCACAGGGACTGTACTGGGATCGCTGCTACTGTTAATGTTAATACATAATCTCTTATGTTAATACATTGATCTTCTAGACAATTTGGAGAAGCAATCATAAAAAGCACCCAGATACATAGTTAAAAGTGTAGAATTTAAATCTGTGGATTGTTATAATAAAATCATAATGAAAACTGTACTAAATACTACATATGAATTTAGAATATTGTGATTCATTCTGGTGACATTTACCAAACAAGGAATTTCTGCTCTGGAATCAGTCTCTGGAAAAGAGACCTGGGCTTCAACACATGTTACACTATCAGGCCAGATGTGAATCTTTTCATCTAGAACAGAGACTGCGAGAGGACCTAATCTTGGCATTCAAAACCCTGAAAGGCCAAGACACGGTCACCCCTGTGGACTTCTTCAGAACCAGCTGTGAACCACGGACCAGAGGACACAAACAGAAACAAGGTGAAAAACTGGGAATCTGGGGCACTTCTTTACACAAAGAGATGTGGGAGTTTGGAATATGTTACTGGCAGTGCTGAACCAATTGCATGCCTAGTACCCCCTGACATCTGGAATATACTGTGGTGAGGCACCACTTTAAACTGAGCTTAGACAGTGCTTTGACTGACAGGCTGTTTTAGCTAGATACTCAGATTGGAGCCCAAGAGCTCAGAAAATGCCAATCAAAAGTGCAGTGTCACTCCCTGTTGTGTAGGGCTGTACTGCAGTGGCCTGACGCATGGTGCTGATGCACTGGGCGAGAAAATGCTATGGGGCAGAGCTGGAGAACGCTTCGTCCACACAGACTCACCTGTGGTGCACTGTCTGTGTGCTGGGGAGAGTGAGGAGAACTGCTGGTATGGTTTTATTTGTCATGTATTATTCAGTGTCCCCAGCAAAGTTGTAGCCCACCTCCAGCCTGGCCCCTTCCTCTATCATTCTGTCCCCTTGGAGTGCAGAGGAGACTGCACAATGCTTCCTTGGCAACGCTGAGTCAGAGGATGCCACCTCTCGCAGGGAGGTTGTGCAGAGTTATTACGGCCCCGATTTCAGACTTCTCACTATTTTCCAAACCATTTAAGCAAGGGAAGCACAACTGATTCACAATCTGGGGTGCAGAGGGCACGACGGCAGCGAGGACACGTAGTGCACCAGAATGCACCTCTCGTCAGCAGGGCCCGGCTCAGTGATGTCTGTCTGGGAGACTGATCGCTCAGGGCCTGGGCTTTCCTCTGTGATTGACAGAATGACGAGATGCCTTTTTTTTTTGTTTGTTGGAGTTTCTGTTTGAAACTCTTTGGAGTTCTTTTCCCCCTCTTGTTAGAGCTACAAAACACATTGTCTTCTCCAGTAGTACGAGAGTGACAACTTTGAAGATCTGTTATTTTCAGTTTTACACATTTCAGTCGTCTGTCTAGCTAGTTATATGGATGGGCAGGACTTTCTAGCAGTGGACTAACATCTTTAAATTTGATGCTGTTAAATGGTGTATTTATGGAATGATTTTTGTGACTTTTTTTAGTTTCATAAATATATGATCAGAAATATGTGGGTTGTGAAATAATGTATGACATGCTTTGAAACTGACTGAATATTAAATACATTATTATAGAAATATATAATAAATAACATACAAATATATGAAGAAAATGACCCATTCGTCTGGCTGGCTGGACTCTGCGGCCGAATTCTTCGAGATTTTTACGCCAAATGACCACATTTCTGACCAACTTTTATGTCAGGCCCTTGCAGGCAGTAAAATCAGGCTGAACAAGTGCATTCGAATTCTGCGAGGTTTGAAACTATTTGCAGCTCAATCTCTCCCCCTGCCCCCAGCAGGCTCAGCTTCAGAAGAGGCTGTTCTGGGGGAACTGGATGTGGGATTGAACAGCGTTTCCACTGGCTCAGCCCCTGCTCACTGAACCTCAGTTGCAGAGATTCTTTCGGTCAGGGAGGGTCCATAAAGCCGCCTATGCCTGACACTTACAGTCTATTCATTGGACTGGGGAGGGATTCCTAGTATTTTGGCCAGTGTCTTGGATATCTATCCATCTCATCTTTTATGCAGAAAGTGATGCTGTCGGTTTTCATTTGAAAGATTCACCACATGAGTAGAAGTGATTCCCCTGATGTATGAAAGTTGACCACAGAGAAAAGGATTTGCTGTACGATGGACTGCGAGCTTCAGCATGGAGTGCAGCAGGAGCCCCCTGTTTTTCTCAGGGTGACCAGGTGTCCATGGAGACATCGTAAAGGCAGGACAGCAGGCCACACAGACTGAGGAGGTCAGACAACATACCGCACCTAACTGAGGAGCCTTTCAAATATTCCTATTTAAAGTGAATGATGGCTGTTAAATAATCATGATAATAATAAATACAATACAGTACAAGAAACGAGCAGTTCTGCGCACCGAGCCTTGCAGTGTTTACAGTTTAATTTTGTTTACCCTTACGATTCAAATACGATTCCTTGTTTAATAACATAATTTTCCCTCTTTGCCCGTTCTCCTCTGTTTTCCATTTTTTTTGACAGGTAATAAACACGCTGCAAATAAATTCCTGGCCCTGAGACATTTAGATAGATTTCCAGCATAATTACTGCCATGGCAAGTAATGCGGGCCTTTTGTTTATAGGTGCTTGTTCTGGACTTATTATCTGTGAGCTACAATAGTATTTGTTAATGCCCTAAAGTACCGTTAAGAGAGCACACGAGGTTAATTTGTGAACCATTAAGTCACATTATTTCCTCATTCACATCTCATTTTTAAGGCCTACCCTTTTTATATAATCAATGACACCCTCCCAGCCGCTGTAATGTTATAACAAATGAACTGATTTTCCTTTTGTTGCAGGTGATGGGGGAATGCATTAGAGGTTAATTAGGAATTCCAGCGGAGGTGAGGTTTCCTGCTCTGCGGCTGGCGGCTGAGCTGCTGCTCAAAGCCCTGCCCTGTCTTCCCGTGCCTTTCTGTGGCCTGACAGCTGGGAGATTCGGATCTGGAGGTGCCCCCCCTCCTCCCAGCACAATCCCAGCGCCTGAGCCACGGACCTGTGTGCCTCAGCAGCAAAGAGGAACGGCCCCTCAATTACCTCTCCGGCAGCCACAGTCAAACCCCACTGCGTGTCTTAATTAAGCTTGCTGTTAGAATTCAATTTAAACATTTGTTTTTAAAGACGGTGGGGGACATATATGTGTTTGTGGCAAGGAAAGGAAATACCAGAGGACCGGCGCCTTACCTAGGACGGGTTGCTGTGCACGTTGCTGGAGTTGTAGCAGCACTTGGACTTGAGGCTGGCCCTAATTGTCTTCTGATTCATCCCGGTTATTTACATATAATTAATTGTTCTTGTTTCTTGTTTTCATTCCTCTTACAAGATAATTAAATAGTGTTTTTTTTTTTAAATAGGGATTCGAGAGAAGATCCACAACAATTTAGACCAACCTGCTATTAGACTACCGTGGTGGGCTGGGTTGACTCGTTTTTAGACGGAACAGAAAAAAGCAGATTTTTCTTTCTCACGCCCTCGAACCCCGTGACACTCACAACTAGCACACTTTCCCATGCTTGGATCTGGGCCTCATTTCTTTCTGTTCCAGCTCCTACCGGCTGGAAGGGACTGCTGTGTTTTCGGGGACACGGGTATCTGCAGCTCTGCGTGATGCCTGCCCTGGCCAGCGTGCAGTCAGGAGGCCTGAGACAGCATCCCACGGGCCAGTGCAGTGAGGGGTATGTTGGTAGGTGGTTACTGAGTTAGTCGGCAACACTCCTGCCTCCCTGACTCACACCTGCCTGGGTGAGGACTGAGAGCCTGCTCGGATGATGTGACAAGGGGGTTTATCTTGGCCAACAGGGGGCAGTAGGAGGCTATGTGTTGTTAAGTGTCTGCA